TTCTATTTGCAAATGCATTTTAATTATTTATACTTCTATGTGCATTTCCATCCACACCTGAAGCATATCATTGATAGCCAAACCACCTCTTGCTCTGCATGAGAGGTAAAATGGTTTTCATTTGCCACCTCTGTTAGAACAGTAAGGACAGAGGGAATCCTAAGAAAGGGGCTGGGCACACCGACCGCTGTCTTTTGGCAGTAGTTATCCAGTGACCAACTCAGGAGTCAAAAAACAGGGCGTAGGGAAGCAGAGCAGGGAAAAGCAGAGTTTGTATGGGGAATTAAAACGGTGAGCCCTTTATCGCTTTCTTCACTTGCTTTTCCTCGGGCGGGTGGTCACGAAGATGTGTGCCAACAGTGGGAGTGGGGGAGGTGCTGCTGGTTGCTTTGCAGCCACCTCTGGCTCACAGTGATCCCATGCACCACAGCAGGAAGTTCCGCCACGTTGGGCGCCATCTTCATCATCACTCGTATGCCGGCATCCATCGTTGTGGCCACTGTGCCTTTTCGTGCCTTCCAACCTCTGGTCCTCATCTTCCAACACTCTATTTAGCAATATTCTCTTGTGATGCAGAAGAGTTTTCATGTGATCATTTAAAATATATACATTGATAGGTCTTTCTTCTTGGTCTGTCTTAGTCTGGAAGTTCCTGTGACACCTGTCCACTAGGGTGTTTGAAATGCTAGTGGCATATCTGAAAACCTCTTAGCAACTGTTCGATGGGTAGTGGGGAAAAGGGGACATCTCCGATTATATTTGATGCCTCTGGCCTAACCTCTCTAAGACAAATGCAGACCACATGGGTATACTTGTTTTAATTCTTCATCAGTGGTTTTGACACTTGGTGTATAAATTGGAACAATAGCTGTAATAATTGATCATCCTTGACTTTATCTTCTCACAGACATAATTGTACTTTAAGATAGATCTTAAAATGTTCTTTTTGCTGATAAGGGTAGTGCCATTCATCTTGAAATTGCCTTTCCTGGCACAGTAAATCATGATTTTTCAACTCACAGATACCTAGGATATCAAGTTTTGTGTGTTCTGTTTCATTCTTGACAACTTCTAATTTTCCTAGTTTCATTCTTCATACTTCCCACATTCTGATTATTAGTAGACGCTGGCAGCTGTTTCTTCGCATCTTGAGTTGTAGCCCATCAACAAACAAAGGTCCTGGCTTCCATCCACTTCAGTAGCGTGCGCTCCTCTTTGAGGAGGCAGCTCTTCCCCGGCTGTATTTTGAGTGCCTTCCAAGCTGCAGGGCTCATCTCCCGGCACTTTATCGACAGCGTTCTGCTGTTATTCATAAGGTTTGTGGTGGCTCATCCCTCAGAAATGTACACTATGTTTTCTTCCGAATCTCTTCTTAAAGCGCCTGGAGGGTATAGTGTCCCACTCATTGAGCTGCTGATTGCAAGGTCAGCAGTTTGAACCTACTAACTGCTCCCTGGAATAAAAACGAGGCTGTCTGCTCTCAGAAAGATTTAAAAGTCTCAGAAACGCAAAGGGACAGTGTTCTCTGCCCCATAGGGTCATCATGAATTAGGATCAGCTAGATGGCAGTGAGTCTTTTGAAGCTGTCCCGAGTCGGGAAGCTGCACAGAAGCCGGTTCACCGTGGGTCACCGTGCTGACAGGTGAAGTGCTGGCAGAAGAGCACCCAGCATCACAGCAGCATGCAAGCACAACAGCGTGGTAAGCTGATAGATGAGTGGAGACCTTTCTCCACATGTTCACATAAACAGTAGTTGTGCATATAAACATTGTAATTTTTCAAATAATCAATTTGCCTAGTGACTTTAAAACATGCTATCCTTGAAGCTCAGTTTATATATTGAATGATGACTTATAATTAGGCATACCTACCTATCCATTTCTTTACTTTGTGTCACATATACTTGTTCTGGTACATAAGGCCAAGAATAATGCTAAGCAGCTTTTAAAAGATCATAGAAAAATAGAATGAAAATGTAATGGAATTTTCCCCACAAACTTTTGAAGCCCCTTTGTATATTGATTTGTGGCTTAAACAAGATAGACATCTATTTTTCGAACATTTGAAGAAATCTAGAGCTGGGCGTTCCTGGTGGGTTATATGCCTATGGCTCTAAGTAGTGTGGGTTTCTTTGTCTGTAACGTTACAGACCCCTTCAGTCTTGCTGCGTGGCTATTCTTTAACATATTGCCTCACCGTCTAAAATGGCGACATGGACTCGGTATTACATGTGCATTCTGAGCAGGAGGAAAGGAAAAAGGCTAAACACAGGAACAAACAAACCCCCGTGCCGTGAAGTCAGTGTGACGCATAGTGACCCGTCATTGGGTATCTGAAGCTGTAAATCTTTTTAAATTGTTTAATAGTTTTATTGACATACAATTCACATGTCATACAATTTAATGATTTAAGAATATTTAAAAGAGGTGTCTAATCATCACCACAATAAATTTTAGGACTTTTTTTCTGTCTTGTATCCATTATTACTAGTTCTGCATCTTCCCCCACATTCCTCTACCATAACCCTAAGAAACTATTAATCCAGCTATTATCTCTATAAATTTACCTATTTTGGATTTCATGTAAAGATAAATATACATAAAAATAAAAAATACCAAGAACAATAACAAAATAAAAGGAGAAAAACCTCAATCCAAAGGAAAGCAGAACATAATAACTAGAACAAATTTAAAATGGGTCACAATGGAGAACAAATGATAGGGTGTTAAATTTTAACCTAACTGCAGCTGCGTTACTCCACTTTCCCATGGACTGAGTCTGATAGCAAGGCCGTTTACAGTTCTAGTCAATGATCAGAGGATATTTACCGGAGGCTTAATCCACGTGGGGGCCTTGCAAATGGATTTTATGATTTCACGCTCATCTATAGCCTTCTACAAACTGGGTGCTCAGAATTTAAACTTTGATACCATTTCCTCCTCTGATCTTGGATCTTATTGTTTATTATCCCTGGGCCACACAGGCTGTTCTTCAGTGTGGACTTAGCTGGCACCTCACTTAGATAGCTGCTTGACTGAAGATAAGTCTTTAAGACCCCAGAAGCTATTCTTTCTGATAGTCAAGCACCACCTAATTTCTTCACCACACTTTGGTGTAGCACCCATATATTCAGTGAACTCTTCGTGAGAGCAAGTATTAAGTAAGACATCATAAAAATGAATTGTTTGAGATTATGTGATTAAGTGCAAACTCAAAATCCATTCACATAGCTATGGTTTATTTATGACCCTAGTCCACTTTAGAGACATCATTATCCTTTTCGGGGGAACATTATAAATCATCCTCATGGAGCATATGATAATTCTATTGATAGTATCATTAATTTGACCAATTGTATGGAATTTAAAATACTGTTGAAGACAGGTAAATAAATATGAA